GATGCTCAACCATTTCATGATCAAGAATTGATGGTGTTGAAGGAAGAAGTCCAAGCAGCATTTAAGGCTTTGGTGAAAAACAAGCCTCCAGAAATTGACAGAATGCAAACTGAAATGCCTACAGACTGATGCAGCACTGGAGATGCTCACTTATCTATGGCAAGAAATTTGGAAGACAGTTACTTGGCCAACTGATGGGAAGAAGTCCTTATTTGTGTGCATTCCAAAGAAAAGCGACCCAATGGAATTTGGAAATCATTGAGTAATATCATTTATATCACATGCAAAAAGATTTTACTGAAGATAATTCAAACACAGTTATAGCAGTATATCAACAGAGAGCTGACAGAAACTCAAGCCAGATTCAGAAGAGGACATGGAAAGAGGGATATTACTGCTGGTGTCAGATCTTGGTAAAAAGCAGAGAATACCAGAAAGATGTTTTCTTGTGATTTAGTGACTATACAAAGGCATTTGACTGTGTGGATCATAACAAAACAATGGATAACATTGTGAAGAATGGGTATTCCAGAATACTTTATTGTACTCATAAGGAACCTGTACATAGATCACTAGTCAGTTGTTTAGTGGATGGTTTAAAATCAGGAAAGATGTGCGTGAGGGTTGTATACTTTCAACATACTTATTCAATTTGTATGTTGTTGTTAAGTGCTGTTGAATTGGTTCTGACTTATAGCTACCCTATATAATGTTTCCAAGGAGTGGCTGGTGAGTTTGAACCAATGACTATATGGTTCACAATCCAGTGCTTATCCTATAGTGCCACCCCAGGATACTGAGCAAATAATATTAGAAGCTGGATTATCTGAGGAAGAACGAGGCATCAGGATTGGAAGAAGACTCATAACAACCTGTGATATACAGATGACACAGCCTTTCTTTGTGGAAGCTAAGAGGACTTGAAACACTTACTCATGAAGTTCAAAGACTACAGCCTTCAGTATGGATTGCACCTTAATGTAAAGGAAACAAAAGTTCTCACAATAAATAACGTCATGATTCACAGAAAAATTTCAGGTTGTCAAAATTTTGTTTTGTTTGAATCCACAATCAATGCTTATGAAAGCAACAGTCAAGAATCAAAGGACGTATTGCTTTAAGAAAATCTGCTGTGAACAACCTCTTTGAAGTTTAAAAGTATGATGTCTAAGGTGCCCATGACCCATGTCATGGTATTTTCAATTGCATCATATGTGGGTGAAATTTAAACAATGAATAAGGAGAATCATAGAAGAATTGGTACATTAGAATTATGATGTTGATGAAGAATACTGAAGGCATCATGGACTGCCAGAAGAACAAACAAATCTGTCTTGGAAGAAGTACAACAAGACTGCTCCTTAGAAACAGGGATGGTGTCTCATGTTCTTTAGATAAGTGATCAGGAGGAACCAGTGCCTAGAGAAAGACATCACATTTGGTCCTGTGGAGGATTAAAGAAAAAGAGGAAGACCTCCAACGAAATGAACTGACACATGTTCAAACATGACAACAATTGTGAGGATGGCACTGAACTGGGCAGTGTTCTATTCTTTTGTGCATAGGGTTGATAGGAGTTGGAACCAACTGGACAGCATTTAACAACAGCAACAACGTCAACTCTCTAACAAATAACATACAATAAACAGACCAGTCTTATAAAAAATAAAACTAGAATGCTCCTTAGAAGCCAGGATGGCCAAACTCTAACTTGCTCACTTTGAACACATCTGAAAAAAACACAATGGATAGAAAAGAACATCATGGTTAGTAAAGTGGAGATTCAGTGAAAAGGAAGGACACCTTCAACGAAAAGAAATAATACAATAGCCAAAATAATGGACTAAAAAATACCAGCAATCATCAAGTCAGGCAATAGTTTCATTCTTGCACCATAAGATCTCCATGAGTCTGAGTCACTTCCCAAGCAACTAACAAGATTTTTCCAGGGGTTTGGTCTAGATAGGAAGCTACCCAAAATATATGATTTAGGCACCCTGAAAAGAGATTTGTGACTTGTAATTACATCTTTTCTCTCTGCAGATGCTGAACTTCCACAGCATTTGTTTCTCTGAGCCTCGTTTTCGCACTGTGTAAAAGACTGGCGACAGTAACTTTTTTTTTTTTTTTTTAATGTATCAATTATTTAATGAAGTTCTTTCTTTGCAAGAAATCTAGAATACTAATTTGTGAGGATAAATTTCATTTGTGAAAGCAAACACAGCACGCAGGTAACCTTGGAGCTGGGGTATGGCTTTGATTTTTGGTCCACAGCTTTCTGATCCACTTTGCGCTGCTTTGTAACCTCGTATTTCTCTTTCTCAGTGTCGAAGATCGTGCTTTCTTGGTGCCTGGGCGTCCGCATCTGCTGCTTCTTGAAGTAAGCATCCGTGAGATGTTTGGGGGATCTTCACACCACTGATATCAATGATAACTTTCTGGTGTGTTCTACACAGAGGAACTCGATTGAGGGACAGAGGTCCAGTCACAAGGAGCAAACCACTGCCAGCTACTTCAGGAAAAGCACTCTCTTGCCTCGATTGCGCTCAGTGAGGCTGATCAGAATGGTCCCAGGAGTGATGCTGGACCGCAGTCTTTTGACATGCTGACTGAAGGGTTTGCTGCCTTGGCTCAAAAATTTTTCTAGGCACATCTTCAGTTGGGTAATACCTAGGCACTTGGAGCAGTTTAACCACTCGGGTAGCACCATTCTTGTCACCCCCAACTGGCTTTGTGACAGTAGCAAGAACCTTCTTGTTCTTTTCAACCCTGGATTTAGCAGCTGAATAATTCCTCTTGTATGTGGACTTTCTAGAATACATTGCCGATCGGGAATACCTGCCAGTTCCTCGGACTACGACAGGATTTCGGCTGCAGTGCGGCTTCCCCTGCTTGGGTTTTTTGCCCTTGAGGTTAGCCTTCTTAGCTTTGCTACTGGCATTTGCTTTTTTGACTTCAGATTTCTTCACCTTGGTAGCCGGCTTCTCAGCCTTTTCACCCGTCATCTTGCAAGATGGGAAAGTAACTCTTGTCCATCCTATTTAACAGCTTTGTAAACGGCAAAGGACTTGGAAAACCTTAAATCAGTATATGAAGATGGAGATTCTTAAAGATGGGAATCCCATTGGCTAAAAGAGCCCAACAAAAATCAGTCCTTTCTCTGGTAGCCTAGTGGATTACACACTGAGCTGCTAATCGCACAATCAACACTTTGAATCTACCAGCTGCTCCACGGGAGAAAGAAGAAGCGTTCTGCTCCCGTAAAGATTTATAGTCTCGGAAACCCTATAAGGATCGCTATGAGTCGAAACCGGCTAGATGACCACAATCACCACCACTGCTAGGACTCTTCCCAAGCAGAGCGCTATATACACTACACCTCACCGACCTTTCGGGCCCAAGTGCGTGGGTCACGCCTCCTTACCCTGACGCATTCTGATAGGCTTACAGGACAGACGCTATAAAGAGACAGCGACAGGATTGACTAGCTGACGTGGAGCACGCGATGCGTTCTGGGAGGTGTAGTCCTAGGATCCTGGGACTCCTGGGACTCGCATATCTGACTAGATTTCAGTCCTGGGAACTAAATTGCGGTAAGTAGTAAGGTGAGGAGGGGGTGCTTGGAGAATGGGTACGGGTAGTAAGGTGGACTAAAATTAAAGATAGGTGAGGGTTGCCAGTTGGGAAGAAAGGTACGAACCTACTTTGAATTGTTGTTATATGCCGTGGAGTAGGTTCCGACTCATAGCGACCCTACACGGGGTTTCCGAGGCTGTAAGTCTTTACGGGAGCAGACCGCCTCATCTTTCTCCCGCGGAACCGCTGGTAGTTTCGAACTGCTGACCTTGCGACTCTCAGCCCGATTCGTAACCACTACGCCACCAGAGCTCCTTTGAATAGTGTATTGCAAAGTTGGTTGCTGCGTGAGGGGTGTGGTGGAAAGGTGCAAGTTTCACGGCCAGACACTAGCCACTGCTGCTTCAGCCCCCGTCTTCCACTGTAAGGAAAGAGAGGAAAGTTGGGTTATTTAAATGGTGTTTTTTTGGGTTTTCCTCAATTTTATTTTCCGCTCTAGTGACGAAGAGCCTGTGGCTTCGGTGGACCGGGGACCCGTACCTTTATGGGAGGTAGGATGCAATCCAGGGCTCTCGCCCCACCTCCTCGCTGATTGGAGCACACCCCTCTCCGGGGCGGAGCCGGGTGGGGACTTTCCACCAGCTGCCAAAGACCTCCGGGATTCCTAGAGAGGACTCGGAAGTGCTCTCAGATGGAATTTATAGCCCTACCCAGTTGGCCAGTGCCGGATTGGGTTTACTTACTTCCGGCGAGGGAGTGGTGTCGATAATTGCCCGCTTCGGTTTCTTCTGTTTATTAGAGATTCATCCTCCCAGGCTTGGCAACGTGGAGCCTGGTCTTCCCGGAGAGCACCTTGGGACTGGTGGTGGGCTGCGGGGAGGGGCGGTTGTGTCTGGACTCGGGTTCCTGGGAATCCAGGGCCAAATTTACTTCTATCCGTGCTTCTCTTCGGGACCAATGAAGACTATTGGTCTGTCAGGCTCTTGTGGCTTTGAGGGACAGGGCCAGTTTTGAGCATTGTAGTGTTTCTGATCCCTGTTGTGACTTTAAGTTTGACTTATGGTAGAGAGAAGGAGCAATGGGGTCTGAACTAGTTAGTAAGTCTTGCTCCATTATTTATCTGGCATTTAAACGTTCTTTATCTCTTGAAGGTTGGGCCGAATGTCACAATTTTATGGCTCTCCTTTAAAATTTTGTAAATGTTGAAAACAGCCTCTATTAACAATTATTTTGTGGGTGAAGTGCTGGCTGCCTTGTAGTCCTTATTTTTAAGTAAATGATTCTTAAGTAACGAGTGTAGCTGATTAATGTGTCATCTCGCTTTGCTAATACTGATGTTCAACATACCAGTAGGTTGTCCACTACTGAAGATGTTTTTCAGAAGACCTTAAAAGCTTGAAACAAATTTGATCTTCTGAGTTGGAATGATAATGACAGAATCACGGGAAATTATAGACTTGGCCCCTCCAGCTCAGACTTCGCAGGAGCAGGAAGATCTCCTAATAGTGAAGGTAGAAGAAGAAGACTGTACTTGGCTGCAGGAGGCGTACAGTCCACCAACATTTGAGACTTTTTACCAGCGCTTCAAGCATTTTCAGTATCGTGAGGTATCAGGACCCCAGGAGGCACTCAGTCAACTCCGGGTGCTCTGCTGTGAGTGGCTGAGGCCAGAGCTGCACACCAAGGAGCAGATCCTGGAGCTGCTGGTGCTGGAGCAGTTCCTCACCATCCTGCCTGAAGAATTCCAGACCTGGGTGAGAGAACAGCACCCAGAAAGTGGGGAAGAGGCTGTGGCTGTGGTAGAAAATATACAGAGAGAACTTGAGGCGCGCAGGCAACAGGTGAGTTGAAGAGATATAAACAATGAAAGTAGAGGAAAGAGTTAAGGAACTGCTGAGCAGGAATGAGATCTCTAGCCTTACGCTGCTTCATTCATATCCCTTTGTTCCCCTGGGATTAGGTACATGTGGAGAGCTCCTGACATTCCAGCAAAGAGAAGCAATATCCAGTATGTTAACTTGGAGAAGACAGTCTGCGATTTTACTTACTTGTACTTAAAATCACTGCATTCACTATTTGAATGACATGATACAAAATTCAAAAAGTACCTAAGGGTGTAATGAAAAGTAAGTTTCTTTCCCCCACCTCCTAATGCCAGCTGCCTAGTTCTCGTCACTAGAGGTGACCACTATTAACACAGATACCTGTATCTTGTATATCTTTACAGAGATAATACATATTCTGTCTATATAAGCATGTTTATTGTTGTTGTTGAGTGCTGTTGAGTTGGCTCCGACTCATAGCCACCCTATATTGGGTTTCAGAGGAGCAGCTGGTGAGTTTGAACTGCTGACGTTGCAGTTCATACCGACCTTTTGGTTCAGTGCTTCATCCTATAGCGCCACACCAGTACTCCTCTATAAGCATATATGTAGATCAAAACAACAAGAAAACAAAACCAAACTCACTGCCATTGTATCAGTTCTGACTCATAGAGATGCTGTATCGGTTTCCAAGGCTGGACATCTTTACAGGACCAGAAAGCTTATCCTTCTCTCTTGGAGCACCTGGTAGATTTCATCTGGTGACCTTGAGGTTAGCAGTCCAGTGCTCATCCTACAGTGTCACCAGAGCTGCTTATATATGTATATTTTATGATTTTAAAAAAAGAAGCAAACATTTTAAAACTATGATACACTTTGCTTCTTATTTTTTCTTACATTTTGGTTTGTTCCATGTCAGTATAATATATATATATATATATATATGTATATATTGTTGTTTAAGGAGCTCTGGTAGCGTAGTGGTTATGAGTCGGTCTGCTAACCTCAGGGTCAGCAGTTCGAAACTGCCAGCTGTTCCACAGGAGAAAGATGAGGCTTTCTGCTCCCCTCAAGATTATAGCCTCGGAAACCCTGTACAGAGTCGCTATGAGTCGAAACCGACTTCACGGCACATAACATTACCACCATAGTTGTTAACTCTTACTGAAAACCTACTTAGGTTGTTCCTTTAGATCGTTTCTAAATTTTTACTATAACAAATTATAGTTTTATAGTGAGTATCCTTTATGTATGTAATTAATTGTAAAATGAATTTTTAGAAGCTAAATTGACTCAGAGGCCAAAGTATTTATCATTTTAATAACAGCCAATAGATTGTCTGCCAGATAAATTAATTATACCCATTTATATTCCCACCAACACTGTATGTGAGGAATTTTTGACCTAGACTGATAACATGATGTTACCCAAATTTTTTATTATTGCCAGTATGAAAGATGAAATATTTCATATCTGTGCAGTTTTCTTTTTCCTTAAATGTTTTATTGTGAATTATGTGATAGTTTACATGGGAGAACATTAGTTTTACATTCATTCTATCGTATATCGTCTCATTGCCATGGTTACAATCCCCTCCATGCATCATCAACCAACCAAAGGGTATACCCTGCAATCCTTTCCCCGTACCCCCCAGGTCTTCAGCACACAGTCGCTCTGCTCTCCCTCTCTGGATCTAAAGTCTCCAGCTGCTCCATCGCTCCATGTTATCATCTCTGGCTCCATTTCAGGCATCACTGCTTCTCTGGGTAGGGTCCCACTCTCTGCTGTTCTCCCTTGATGGTCCTAGGGACCTCCGCTCCTAGACTGAAAAGTTAATCTCTCCCCTCCTTGCTATAAAACGTCTACCTTTACGTTTCCGACCCTCACAGTCAGTCCTGATAACTATTATTCACTATTGTATCACAAGAGCCCCGTCTTGTGCAGTTTTCTTATGAGTGAGTTTGATCACAGTACACATTTTAAGAGCTATTTGTATACTCTTTTAAATCTGTTTATTGTTGTTAAATGCCACCAAGTTGGTTTCAACTTATAGCAACTGTGTACAGGGTTTCTGAGGAGTGACTGGTGGGTTTGAACCTCAGTCCAGTGCTTATCCTATAGCCCCACACCAGGACTCCAGTCTGTTTATATTAACTATTAGAGAAGTTGCAAATGTTTTTTTCTAGTTTGTTGCATGTTTTTTGCTTAAGCAGATGATTTTTTGGTAAGTTTTTAAAAAACATGTAATCAGTTGAAATCATTGATGGCTTCTGAGTTTTGTGCCATATTTAAAAAGGTCTTCTCCAATATAATATTAAATTTGTTTTTCAGAATTTCTTTTCTATTAAAAAAATTATTTTAGACTTTTAAATGAGTGCTCCCTCTGGAATTTATTTTGGTGTTTGGAATGATATTTTAACTTTATTTTTTTCCCAGATATCTGTGTGGTTTTGTAAGTAGCTTTTATAGAATAATTCTTTTTTTTCCCTTAGATTAAAATTTTACCTACCAGATTTTTGTATGTATTTGTATCTATTTCCAGACTTTCCATTCTGTTTTATTTATCTTATGATCTGTTCAGGTATTTGTATTTTAATTATTTGACCTCTGAAAAAATGTTTTGGTATCTGGTAGATTACTTTTTCTACCCTATAATTTTTTTCCAGTGTTTTCTTTAAGAACTTTGTTTTACCCACATCCAGAATCCTTCTGATGTTTTTGTTGAGATTGCATATATTCATGTAACCAACCAAAGCAGAACAAAGCCACTGCCATGCAGCGCATTCTGACTCACACTGCCCAGACGATTCCTACTGCCCTGTGAGGTGCCAAAGCAGAGTGCCACATCTTCTCCCACAAGGAAGCTGGCAGATTTGAACCACTAACCTTTTGGTTAGCAGCTGAGCACTTTAATCACTTTTAGGTTAGCAGGCAGACACTTTAACCACTGTGTCACCAGGGTTCTTTGTACATTAATTTAAGGAGGATAACTTGGCTGTTTTCATGATACGCTTTTCCGCTTGTTCGAGTCTTTTGTTGTGTGTCTCTCTGAGTCATTTTAAGTTTCATTCGTTTTGTTGTTAAGTGCCGTAAAGTTGGCTCTGACTCATAGTGATCCTGTATAGGGCTTATGAGGAAGGGCTGGTGGAAGGGTTTATGAGAAACTACACTGACCTTGTAGTTAGCAGTCTAATGCTTCTATAGCACCACACTAGACTCATGTTGTTAAGTGTCTTCGAGTCAATTCTGATTCATAGCAACCCTGTATAGGGTTTCCAAGGAGCAGCTGGTGAGTTCGAACTGCTGACCTCGAGGTTCGCCTGACCTTGCAGTCTGGTGCCTATCCTACAGTGCCACACCAGGACTCATATGGATCTTGTTTTCTTACATTTGTTTCTGAGCATCTTAAGTTATTGTTGCTGTTATAAATAGTGTCTTTCCTTCTGCTATATACTTTTTTGTTTTTTTTAATATTAGGGAATTATCTTAAGGTCTGAAGTAGTTAGGTCATAGCTGGTGCAGCTCTTCAAAGGGGTCGTGAGGGTACCAGACTTCTAGTGCCATTTCATGTTACTTAGTATTTAACTTTGGTCTTTGAGGTCAACAGATGACTGGTATGCTTCAGGGCAGCCGGTGGGTACTGAGTAAGGTGACACATAGTATTGGCCACATGCATATATACATGCTGGGTCCACCAAAACCAGAGGGAAAGAACCCTAATACACACTGAGCCACAGATCAGTGAAAAGATTTCTGAATTTTCCCTCAAGTCTTTTTTTTTTTTTCTTTTCTTTCCTTTTTCATATGCTTCCTATAGGTTTATGCTAAATCCCATAATAGGACTTTTGAAAACCTTGGGATAGCCTTATCCAGTTTCAAAATGGCTTTGGTTGAACCCATGCAGTTCACTTGGAGTCCTGCTGTGGCACTGTAGGATAAGCACTGGACTGGTAACCACAAGGTTGGCAGTTCAGATCTACCAGCTGCTCTTTGGAAACCCTATACAGGGTTGCTAGGAGTTGGAATCACCTTACCAGCACTTAACAGCAACAACAACAATGCAGTTTACGCAGCTTGCAAGACCCTGAGGTTTTTATGCTCAAGATCTTTCTTTTCCTCTGACTCCCATTTCCATATAGTTCTGTCACCACCACTGCCAACCAACAGTTCTAGTAAAACCCTAAAAAGATTCCATAAGCAACTTTGTGGTTTCATAGACAAAAGGAGATTAATGGGGGAACTAAAGCTACTTTAATTTGTCTACAAAGTTTCATGTTTACATGTATGGTTTAAAATTTATTTTTTGATAAAAATGAATTCTGAAGTTTAAGCTTAAGAAAAATTGCTGGAAGTCTTTTTAAGGTTATTGTTTATTAGGTAACCTCTACCATCCTATTCCTGCTAGGCTCTTGCTATAGTCATCTCTTACTTTTTTTTAATAACAAAGAAAAAAAAATCATGGGATTATGGGGCTACAAGAGTTCAAAGCTATAGGCAGATTAAGAACAAGTTCTGTTCCTAATTAGATTGTCTTTGAGTCTAATTTGTATGTAAATTGAAACAATTATAGTTCATATCTTAATATCAGTCCAATGTTTTTCTTACTGTATAGTGTGTATATATAGGTGTTATATATGGAGTCTTGGTGTGTCACTGCAGGATAATGTGCTGGGCTGCAAGGTCAGTTTCAGCTCACAAGGTTGGCAGTTCACACCCACCAGCTGCTCCTGGGAAACACTATACAGGATTGATGTGGGTCCAAACCGACTCCTCAGCACTTAACAACAACAATAGTGTGCCTTTGTATGCATAAAAAAATCATTAAAGAAACACTTCCAGATACAGTAAAACATCTTTAACAAAACAATACATAAAAATCATGCCTTGAAAACTTAATGTTTCTATGCACATTGCAAAGGAGTGCCTGTTTGTTGTTATGGACCATTGTTTGTACTTCACATTGTAAATAGGCTTTATTTACCAGTGTTGGTTTGATAACTAGGGATTGTATTTCAATCAGAAATCTGGAATCCAGGGCCTGCCTGTGCTTAGAGACTTCCCCTTACTCTTTAGAAACATTGCAGTACAGGGAACAGTATGAGTCTCAGGATTCTTCCTCTCTGGGTTAGGGGTACCTCAGTATTTGTCAACATCCTCAGGCTCCAAAATGGTAGAGCTCACTCCCCAACTAGAGTGTGTAGAGGGTGTGCTGCTGAGGGGTGTCATCCTAAACTTTGCTTTCAGACTCCACAACCTGTCTGAGTGATTACTCTGAAGACAGGAATGTTGGAGCCTATTGGGTCAATTTGGATAAGAATTAAAGGCTCATCTAGTTTATTTATTTATTTATTTTAATGTTTTCTTGTGAATTATGTGATAGTTTACATGGGAGAACATTAGTTTTACATTCATTCAATCGTATATCTTTTCATTGCCATGGTTACAATCCCCTTTATGCATCATCAACCAACCAAAGGGTATACAAGCCTGCGCTCCTCTCCCCCCCACCCCCCACCCCCGTCGTCAGCTAGTGATTTCTTTTTTGAAAACATAATTTGGGACATAAATAGACAAACTTTTCCCTACTGCTTTTACAAATGTTCAAAATAATACAAATCTTCAAAAGCATAGTTTCAAACAAAAGTGACAAAATGATAGAAGATTACAGTAGATTTACTGCTGTCATTCTGATATTTGGAGTCCTGGTGTGGCGCTGTGGGTTAATGTGCTGGACTGCAAGGTCAGTGGTTCAAGTTCACCAGCTGCTCCTTAGAAATCCTATACAGGGTCGCTATAAGTCAGAACTGACTTGACGGCACTTAACAACAATTGTGGTATTCAGCCCATCTTTAGAAGGGACACAGAAAAATAATGTCTTCATGGTATGTAGATTTTCTCAAGAGTCTCTCATTGCCTTTCTTTCAGCCTACCTTCTGGTCCTGGGTATTTCCCCCTCCCCCCCTTTGTCTTTAACTCTGCTAGCAGGCCTTGCCTCTGGCAAATCTTCATAAACTTTAACCTTAGTTCTTCCTTAGTTTCTTTGTCTTAGTCTCAGTAGATTTCAGGGACTTCTTTGATGCCCAAGTACACCTTGATATCTTTGGAGTAATACCAAGTGATACTTGCCACAACTATTTGTCTTATACCACGGTTGAAATTTACATGGCTTTGAAATATGAGGGGGTAGGGGGCAGGAAGGAGTTAGCAGGAAAGAGCTGACAGCTCTGTTTCAATGCCGGATGCCAGCAGGCCTAAAATGGGCGGAAGGGTGCCTTTCATAATGGCAGACTCTAGAGAGGGGTTGTGACAGGAATCGTGTTGACCTAGAGTTGAGCAAAAGCCAAGGACAGGAAGATGGAGAACTGGTAACATTCTGAACATGAACTAACTTGAGGTTTGGTGTTGGACTGACTTTAACCTGGTCAGCTAAGGGGCTGGACAAAATTTTTTGAATCTTATAACTGCCTTTCCTAACTCATTTCTTACCTCTTTCCCCCTCCACTGTCCTTCTTATGGTGCATTGATGGCACCAGGCTTTCTGCTACAAGGTCTTAGGTTATTTTCTCTGCCTGTGAGCTTCTCCTGGATGGCTGCTTCCAATCTCTTTTATTTGTTCATGCAAATCAATTCCTCAGAAAAGCGTTCCCCAGGCACCTAATCTAAGGATCCCTGGTGGCACAATGATTAAACACTCAGTAGGTGTTTGGAACCCACTAGCCACTCCTCGGGATGAAGATGTAGTCTGCTTCCGGGAAGATTACAGCCTTGGAAACCTTATGGGACAGTTCTACTCTGTTTTATAGGGATACTATGAGCTGAATTCAACTCAACAAAAATGGATTCTTTATTCATTTTTTTTGCTACCTAAGTTACGAATTTGGGCTGCGAACCTCAAGGTCGGCAGTTCAAAACTACTAGCTGTTC